TTTTGGATACCCTAAACACTAGGTGCCATATCATACTAAAGACACAGATTTTTTTCCACAACCACCCATTAACCCTAAACCCTAAACCTCTACAGAACTCCTGAGATCCTACATGTCCTCATGTGCTTCAAATCAGTAGGATCTTGGGCAAGGGCGAGGTCCTCTCTGACACAGTCACTTTACGCGTTTCGACTCAGCTGTTTTGATTCATCCTATGATCGGCCCTTTAGCGTGTTTCACATTGTCAGACTCCGAACCATATGCCTCGCCTGGATTGTCCGAGTGTGAGCGCCGAAACCTCTACAGACCTTGCGGGCTTTGCTGACTGTGAGAGTCAACAAAGACTCCAAACCTCAATATAACCCCTATAAACCCACAACCCCAAACCCAACAACCCATGTTATGGATTTTCGCGAGGCATCAGGCTGCTGTGGTGATCCAGGCTTCCACGGCCTTTTCGGGCGGCCGAAGAATGAGATTCGGAGTTCTTTTTTTGGGTTCTAGGGTTTAGAACTTAGGGCGTCGGTGCTCGGAGGTTCAGAGTTAAACCCTTATTTGCGGGGTCTTGAAATCAATCCTTCTAGACGTCGAGGGTTGAGGCTTGGGGGTTTCAAGCCTATAAGTTCAGCCCTTTCATCAATCCCTTATCCGAACCAGACAGACAAAAACTTGTCTAATCCGATGCTAAAATACCGGGCATTACCTAAATGAAGACATCTCTAGAGGCTGAAACTCGAGATTCTGCACGCTTCGGCACGAGACCTGCGCTTTTTGGGAAAGGCCCTTCCAGGCTCTAAGCCCTGAGCCCGGAACGCTGCGGTAAAGCACAGCCTTTTTTTTGGAGTTGCGGGGTGGAGGATGCTGAGGGCAGAGACTCAGCAATCGGTCCCCCAAGCCCCAAAATTTGGGGTCTGGCCTGAGGGTCTAAAATTGCGATATTGCGGGCTTTTGACAACGTAAAGCACTGGTCGGTTCAGGGCCTCCGGGACGATCTGTTGGGGATTTGGTGTTTGGGCCCTGCAAGTATGATGCTCCAGCCCTCGAGGCCTCCTATGTCCAAGACAAGGGATGCGATCCCATAGCAACAGACAGAAACTAGTAGCAAACCCTAAACCCTAAAGCGAGATGCGGAGGGGGAAAAAAAAATAGGAGGGAAAAAAAAGCGAGATGCGAGAGCGTAAACCCTAAACCCCTAACCCTAAACCCAAATCTCGTTCTGTTTGGTTTTGACAACCACCCAAATGGAGACTTTCCTGCAACCCTGAGGCGAAACCCGAACTCCCCAAACCCCATTTTCGAAAGGCCAGCATGGCATACCATAGAAGCCTAAGAACTTTCCAAGGGCATTCCTTCTGGTCCGTTGTGGCTCCTTATTCTAGCCGTACTACCATGTACCGCCAAACCCTGTTCGAGCTATGGACTGAAACCGACTGCTGCATCCGGAAGTCTGAGCTCCTAAAGCCCTTAAGAAGGTCGAAGACCTTCTTCTGCTGTGCAACGCTCTAGAGTTTAGGACTTAGGGCTGAGGCCTTAGGATTCAAATTTGGGGGTTTAGGGTTTAGGATTTCGGGTCGAGCGTTTCTAGTCTTTCGAATGTAGACACTATGCCAGAAATAGGTTGCAAAGGACCCTGTCCAGCAACACCAGAAGGCGAGCCCGATAGGAAAATCTCGCGAACGTCGTTTGCCCACATCCCATCAACAATTAACAGCCCTATGAAACAACCCCTCAAAAGCATGCCAACACCCTGTAAACTCCATCCACAACCGCGCTCAGCGCTGTGCTCGTGGCTTTCTCGCACGACGCAACCTGCGCCAGGCGCCTTCGGCCTTCGGTGTTGTTCGTCGGGTGTCTCTGGGTATGGGGTTTTCCAGATGCATAGTCATGCGGCAGGACTTTACTGCGCGTGCACAGAAGGGTGTTATAGCTTGATTAAGCAGCACAGGGTGTTTGGGTAAGTCGCGGTAGAATGATATCGGGATTCTGAGAAAAATGCTGTGACAAATTATTCGGGCCATGGTTAGCTTCTTACAAGGGTTTGAGATGTTTGTTTTATATATGGTTTGGGCTCGAGGGTTCTGTGGTGTTTTTTTTGAGATCCCAGCTCCAAGCTCGAAACAGGTTACCACACCCTATTTCTTCGTAGTGTCCGAATACAAACCCTAAGCCAATAAAGCTCTAAACCTTGAGCGGGACATGAGGCTCGGAGTATGGGTTCTATAAAGATTCTATGCGGCCTACTTAGAAGATCGTGGGATTCAGTCAAGACGGTTAAAAACAAAACATACTTTTGCTTATATATATATATATACATATGTGCATAATAATGTATACATGCATATACACTTATTATGTAAGTTGTCTGTACGTATGAATACTGGTCGCCCGATTCCAGGACCTGCGGCCCTACATGCAACACATTGACAGAATCCTAAACCGTACTGCCCCCTTAAACTCACACCAACAAACCAAAAGCCCTCAACCCCAAACCCCAGACAGTATGGGTTGAGGCTTAGGGGTTTAGACTTAAAGGTTTAGGTTATAAGCCTTAAACCTTAAAGCACAAGACTCGTCCAGGCCGTCGATGCAGCCGTCCGGGGACCTGGCCAGAAGTTGCTCAAGATCTTGGGGTGTTCTTACTCGAGATCCCTATTCAGGTATTTCGGGTCATGGGGCTTGGAGTTTTTTTGGGGTCAAGGCCCTCTTGCTTTCAAGAGCGTTATCGGGCATGAAGACCCCACACCTCCCTACCCTAAAGCCTGCTATATACATGCAGGCTTTTTAAAAATTACAGTCTGCAGCGACGACGGTTGCTTTGAAGAAGCGTGGTGAGAGACTAAGGTTTACGACTTAAAGTTCCGGGTCCAGCATGGTCCCCGATTTAGCGTCTAGGTACGGCTAAGAAATGCCCTATACTACGTATATATGTCTGCTAGATTCCTAGGTCATATTGCCAAAATAGATGTGTATATATAAATATGTATGTATATTCATAACGGCGTAGAACAGAATAGTATACATTATACTTCACTACAGTATAAAGTCTGTTATATACTAGCTTAAACATCAGACTTTATGTTTGGGAGATGTTGAGTCAGCATCCGAATGCCATGCGGTTCCATGAAGCTTCAACCCTGAACCAAACGACGGACAAAAGGTTTTACAAGGAGGGGTCTGCCTTTTATCCCTTCCTGGGGTTGGTGTCCATGTTGTAATCCCATCGGCATGAAGCCTGACACTTTGCAGCAGTTAGGCCACGATGCATGGCCCACTTTCAGGACCATGACGCAAGAGACCCCGAATGTTCAGCAACCTCTGCATGGGTTCGGTGTCGGTAAAACCGACACAGCCTGGAGACCGAAGCCTAATCTTTCGAACAGCCTTACAACCTGTTACAAGAATGCGGTAACCGCACCTCAGCTGTATTCACTTGCAGTACCTTTATCCCTAAACCCGTAGAATCTCGGGCACTGTTTCAGCCGCGCAATCTCCCCGTACGATATTGCATATTGATGTTTCGGGGCCCTGGGGCATATGCTAGATAGGTGTATAGGATTGATAACGGGGAAAGCATTATGGACTACGTGTTCAGTCCTCTACGTTTATCCATGCCTAAAATCCTGGGCAAGATACGCATTCAACGTGTCGCGCGGGCGAACATGGCCAAGGTGGAGGTCGAGGCAGTCTGGGTTTCGGGCTTGGGGTTGAGAAGCCTTGGGTTTTGGATTTGGAAAAGTGGGTGCTTCCTGTCTGCGAATCGAATCGGACTTACAGTTGGGGTTTGAGGATTTTTAGGCTTCGTGTTTGGGGTCGGGGGCTTAGGGATTTGCCGTGCGCGAAGTGGGGTACTCAGTACCCGCAGATCGAAGCAAGCATTTAGGACCCATCATAACGATATCGCCAGAATCCGAAACCCTGAACCGTAAGAACTTCCATCCCAAGCGATCTTCCGCAACACGCTAAAACAACCTTTAATTGAGGCTCAGCTCAATGTCTTCACCCGATACTCTATAAGCCCTACGCCGCACACGCCAAAGTTTCCACACAGGGGCTGAACCCCCACATCTTAGGCCATAAAAAGCCTTCCTTCACTGGGCCTCGAAGGTGCGCCGGAGGCTCATCCATCGCGCTGCGTGTGTCATCCGTGCCCAGATCCGTGGCTCCACAGCACAACATCCGAGAGCCCTAAACGCTTTGGGGTTTTGGGGGCCCGAAAAACCCTGAACCTAAAGCGGCTGGGGCGTAGGGCTTCATGAGGGGTTCAGTGTCCTATAGGACTTCGAAATTGGGCCTGGCGCTTCACAGGCCTTTCATCTAAATCAGGGGTTTCGCGCGAAAGAAGGCATCGTCTTCGACGCTTGAGGGGCAGGGGAGTTTGGGGGTTCTGGGGCTGTGGGTTAAGAGTTCCGAGCTTGAGGGCTTAGGGTGTACGGTGCTGAGGGTTTAACAGGCACGGGTGTAGGGTTGAAGGGACTGCAGGCGAACATGCAGGGCGATAAAGTATTTCGGATGATGTCGTCGCTGACTTCCCACTGAGCACAAGCCGAACCATAACTGACGTTTGAAGCCATCGGCAAAAACAAATGTGAGAGAAAGGCTTGTGAAGAGAACTAAGTATGTCCCCCAGCCAAAAGCCCCCAAGTTAAGTTGGAAAGTACAAGTACAAAGTCAAGCAATCAAACCAAAGCCCACCTCTGCCTGAATCTGTCTGTGAGTTTGGAACCCGTTCATGCAACCCAGCAGGTTACGAACCGAGCCTCTGAGAGCATGGACTCTGAGCTTGAGACCCCAAAATGTGAATTCCCGAAACCCTCGTCCCTAAACAACCCTCCGCCGTAAACCCTTAAACCCAAGCGAACCCCTAAATGCTGCGGGGCGAGACAGCCGGAACCCTACCGGCAGGATCATGGGACTGAGTGATCGTAAGTAAGGTTCTGAGTATCCTGATTTGGGATGTTTTGTGAAACAGACACGTCTGCAGGAGCAGGGCAAAAATGTTGATGGCGAGCGGAGCCGGTGTACCGCGAGCCCTCCTTTTCTTCTTCCTGGTGCCCGCCTATTTGCCGGTGCCCTACCTTGCGCAGCCTGTGACACCTCCCTTTCGTGATGACTTCGGGGGCATGCCTAGATGTGGACAGGTATGGAGTGCGTCGCTGCTCATCCTCAGGCCCGTCCTGTGCAACTGGCGGCATGGCTTGATGGACCCGGCGACGAGTCCCCTATTGCGCACCCGGACGGTGCCTGCCATCCCGGCCTTCTTGAGGCTTTGCTTGCGCTTGAGGTAGCTGATGATGAATCCGTTTGGGCCCAGCATGGCCCAGCCCTTTGCTGACATGCTGCAGCCAACATGCTCCATCTTCCGGACCCATCCGTTTGCTGCGACCAGCCAGTATCAGCAGCCTCGTTCGGCTTCTGGACCCGTGGACTTCAGTACTGCCGTGGCTTCCCTGCCTGGGTTGGTTTTGCCCTTCGTCCTTACAGGCACTGCGGCAATCCTGGTCTTCGAAACACCGCCGTTGCCCGGCTACGTGTACCCCATTGACGGCAGTGCGCCATTGGCGCAGACACAAAGGCGCATTGCACGTGCGAGGTTGTTCCTGCTGCAGTCCAGCAAGCCTCATGTGGACCTGTGCTTCTCCGGGCATCGGGCGCTGCTTTGAGGTGTCTTGAGCCGCTCACATCATGGCTCGTGTCAGGGGGCTTTCTTCGCACTTCCGACGGTCTTGCCTTGCCGCATGACTGATCGGCGACTGTTTCACCCTTTGAATTTGTTTGCCAGAGGCGCGTCGGACAAGAAGAAGATGGTTACCTTATCTATAGCCCTATAGTTTATAGTTATTAAGTCCCTTGACTATTCACTAACCCTGACGAGTAGGCTCCTGGATCTGCCGGCGGGATCTCAGCGAGCTTCGGGTGCATGCGGATCGCAAGGAGGAGCCCAAGGGCGGAGAAACTTTCAGGGTCTACAGGGTTTACGGTTGAGGGGTTTCAGGGTTTAGAACAAGCTTGAGGGCGGACCCGGTAGAGGCGCTGCAGACCGGATGCAAAAAGAAGTCTTAGGCAGGGTTTGGGGATTAGGGTTTTAGGGCTAAGGTGTCAGGTTTGATTAGGGGGCTTGGAGCTTTCAGGGTTTTGATTTTGTACTGGGAGTTCCCCTCATCAAAAGGCTGATGTAATTCTTGGGGTATCCAAAAAGGCACTTCATTCGAAAGAATCGGATTCCGTGCATAATCGTCTGTGCTTCTCTTCTCTCCGTGTGTGTGTGTGTGTGTCTGTCTGTGTGTGTGTGTGTGTGTCTGTGTGTGTGTGTGTCTGCGTGTGTCTGTGTCTCTGTGTGTGTGTGTATGGGTGTGTCTGTGTGTGTCTGTGTGTCTGTCTGTGTGTGTGTGTGTGTGTCTGTGTGTGTCTCTGTCTCTGTGTGTGTGTGTGTGTCTGCGTGTGTCTGTGCGTGTTTGTGTGTGTGTGTGTGTGTCTGTGTTTGTGCTTGTCAGACATACCATGTGATCCGCTTTGTGCAAAGGGGATGTTGAAGTTATTTGTGGTTAGATGTGCCCTAGATGTTGGCTTGCTTATGCCTATTGGTAACACCGCTTACTGGATCCACAAATCCTCCAGATAACCCGAGACCCTAAACCCTAGAAGCAATCCTGTTTACTAAGTCCTCTGATTGCCCAAGCATGCTGGATAGCGTCGGAGGTCCAGTGAGGTGCTTTTGGCTTTTTGGCTAAGGGTACGATTTGAGCGTCAGTACAAGAATGCCGTGCTACGTTTCGCACAAGACACAGCAAGACCCTTATTGGAGATGCGAGTCTTTCTGGGCCTTGGTATGGAGATCTGGAGGAAGCGTATCAGTACTCCGTTGACGTCACTGCGAATTCACTGTACAGAATACCTGGAATCCCTACCCCAACTAGAATCCTTATTATACGACCCTACGAAACCCACCAAACCACCACAGGTCCCCGTCAATCCCTACCCTTGGCCACCAGTTCTTAAGGGCCTAGTGGGTTTAGGTGTTTGGGCTTCGTAACCCTAAACTCCGTAAGCCCGCAACCCTCCGAAAACCCGACACCGATTAAAAGCACGGCAGGCGGTGGAGAATGCAGCTCTCAAGATCCAGAGCACCTTTCGCGGTTGCGGGGATGCCCAGCCCAGCCACCGCTGTTTAGGGTTGAGTGCTGAACTCCTCAACCCTCAACCCGAAATCCTAATCCTTCCACCCGAAATCCTGTTACGTAGATCCTGAAGCCTAAACTCTTTAGCCTTGCAGTGGTGTTGGCGTTTAGGCCTGATCAACCCTGATAAACCCTATACAACACATATATGCATAGATAATATACATATATAGAGAATCCCATCAAATAAAACCCTATAGACACTTAAACCCGAAAGCTTACGTGGAATTCCCAATCAAGCGAGGGGGGCCACAGCAGCAGCTTCTTTTGAGTCCTTGCCTCGTATATATGCCCCCTCAAAATACTCGACGTGCTCCAATCCCCGAGCCCCCAAAACACTACCCTAACCTAACAGCACCGAGGCCCTGAACCCGAAAAAACACCTGATCACAAGTCAGTAGAGAAACCCTGTAAATCCACATCATCTATAGGTTTGGTTTGCTGTAGAGGCTTACAGGAGTCCAGTGTAAATCTAGGTCCTCTAGGTTACCTTAAACCCGTACCCCAAACCCCAAGCCTTAAGTCCCAAACCCCACCCCAACAAACCCTAAACCCCAAAGCCCTAAACGCCCTTAAACCCTTTGGACCTCGGAGGCCGCGGGCGGAAGACTCATCGAAAGCTTAGGCCGGGAGCCTCCTAAATGAACGGGCTAATGTGGCGGGGGACCTGAAGAGAGCTTGGGTTTCGGGTTCAGGAATCAGGATTCAAATTTCGGGTTTAGAGAATCAGAGTAAGGATTGAGGTTCAGTGTGTTGAGGCAGGATTGCGGGATTTAAGTAAGTAAGGGTTCAAGCATATGTCCAATGTGCACCAATGCTGCACCAACACCTGTCTTTAAGGCCTTTACACTCCATTCAACCCGAGCGTATACATGGAGGATCATCGGACTCAGTAACTATGGTTATAAACAAGGTAGCTATAGTTCTAAATATGTACAACTCCAATGACGGGGTTATATAGATCCCTCATCGCTGCCCTCAAAAAGCCCCGCAAAGGCCCCGACAGTTCACCCTGCGAGGACGGAGCATGACCTCATCTTCAACTCCGCCGCGAAGCTCCAGGCAGACTCAATGAAGTTTGGGGTCCCGTTTAGGGTCCCTTGGAGGGTCAACCCTTTAAGGGTTCTATAAGGCAATGTCAAACCCCAAACCCAAAACCCGAAAAAACCCTTACTTGTGATTCCTGAGAGTCCCTGACTAGCAGTCCTTGTACTTTGAAATACACCAAGAATCAAAACCTAAACCCCAAGGGACCGTAGTGGGCACTGTTTATTCATCCTCAGGGGTTTCTTACAACAAGTATGCCAGGAGATGTATTTGCCCGGAAAAATGTTTTTTTTTCTTTGGGTGGTTTTGGGGTTTATGTGGTTTAGGGCTTTGGGCCGGAATAGTTGGTACATGTTGGTACTGTTCTTCCCTTGGAGTTCTTTGTTACAAGTATACTACCATAACCCAAAAATCCGTTCAAAGTGTTGAAGGGCCGTCTGGCAGGGTTGATAATAGGGGCGTTGTTCCAGGACGCTTCTACCCCAAATGCCCTGAAGACTCTGCTACTTCTAGCCCATGTTACTGGAACTGCTCATTTGCTACATAGGTAGTTGGTGGTTGCCAAACATGGTCCTTTTTGCCGAAAATTTGTGGCTCGATATTGATGCTCATCACAGTTCACAGAACTGGGGCTTCAGGGGGTTTAAGGTTTATCTGTTAGGGTTCACGGAGGTCGCCTCTTTCGGCTTTAGGGTTACTCTTTGGGGCTTGTTAGGGTCTAATTACTGCGCTGACGGTTGAGGGCTCAGGAGTTGAGGGTGTTGAGGTTTAGGGTCTGAGGGTGTATACGGTTCAAGGTTTGTGTTCGCTGTGCGCTTGTTTTTGGATGTGTGCCTGCTGCAAACAGGTTGCATAGAATCGCAGAAGAAGAGCTCAGCCTAGAGCCGCAAGTTCCCTACATGAAAAGCCCTACAGCCTAATCAACAAAAAGAGCAAGGCCGGCATCCTTCACGCTAACGAACAACTGACTCAAAACCCTAAAGCCATGGACCCTGAACCCTCAATGAAACTTGGCACGTTACCTCCTGGACCCCAACACACAAAGTTCGAAGCCTTGCAGCTAAACCCTAAGCCCTATATAATCCGAAGTAATTATATCACACACCCCCAAGACCCTACTTAGATTTTCTAGGCCCCTAAATAGCCCCTTCAGCAGCTGTCGCCCCCAACGATACTGAACGATATGCCATGATATATTTTCGTAGTCAATTCTCAAAAACTAGCTGTCGAAATTATCTATTTTAGAATACTTATTCATGCCCTAAAAATCAACTATAGTTATTGTTTAACATAACTATATACTGGCAAGGAGTAGCCTACCCGGAGCCTCTGGGTATGTTCAAATCTCAAGTGCATCGTGACAGGGCCTTCGCAGACATGCTCAAAACGAAGATTGAAGTTTGCGTTTCTTGCAGTTATGGCACATTTAAACATGTGCATGCATGGCACTTGATTTCGCGTCCGTCTCCTTCAAAGCGCATATGCACACTTATGTCTTGGCACGCGCACACACCCTTTGTGGACTTTGGTGTGGGATGTGCGCTTTTTTACGCATGCAGACACGTATTATATACATGGATAGGTATGAACATACATTCGCCCCTGCCTAGAACACTCGTGTCCTGATACGGTTTACGGCACATGCAGCAAGGCATATCGACGGCGACTGCACCGTCCATCCATACACTCACCTAGACTCATGCACCAATGCATTCATCCACCTGAGTTTCGACATGAGTAGTATCACCCAGCGATGCCTTTATGCATCGGTTGATATGCGACCATCTAGTCATTCCTTAATCCGTTCAGAAGCATTCACTCATCCAACCGATCATCCAGCTAATCGCCTGAATATCGATGTTGATCGTACCAGCCACCCATCCGTCCATCCATCTATCCATCCATCCATTCATCCAACTAACCAGCCAGCCAGTCAGGAGTCCATCCATCCATCGATGCAGCCAGCCCCCGCCTAAACCCTGAACCCGGCAAAGGATATCTTGGCTTTTCTTTGGAGGATTTTTCGTGATGCCAGGCGAAGAAAGCGGCAGATGAGAAGGCAGCAGATGCTCAGAAGGTGCCATATGTTGGTTGGGGACATGTTCCGTGGAGGAGTTCGCGCGCGACGGTTTGAGTTTGAGTGGCAGCACTGATGCGATTGCTTTAGCAGTGCTGTGTCTGCTTCGGTACGGAAATGTGTGTAGGTGGAGGCGAGTGTGCGGCTGTGCAAGTCAGAAAGGTTCCCGACGAAGGTGTTTAGTTTCGAGATCGAGGACATGCGCAACGTCTTTCTGTTATGGTTATGCTCCTGAGGTAAGAAAGAGAGAAAGAGAAAGAGAGAGCGAGAGAGAGAGAGAGCAAAGGGAGAGAGCGAGAGCGACAGAGAGCCAGAGCTGGATTCTGAACACTAGCTGAGGTTGAGGGTTTCGCCTGCCCCTTTGCAGCTGCAATATGGGTCATAAGACCTTAAGTCACTGCTAGCAGCAATGGTGATCCTGTCATGAACACGTTTGGCAGCAGCACTAGTACTGGGAGTACTGGTGCCTTGAGCTTGCCCTTGTCTGCTTGTACATGCTTGAAAATGGACTTGGCATGCAGGCGCCAGTGGGTGTCTGGGATCCTGTCGGATTCACCAAAGATGGCATCGCCGACAACTTCGCCCACCGACGTCAGACGGAGCTGAAGCACGGGCAAACTGCAATGCTGGCAACCATGCGATATATCACCCCAGAGTTGAGCAAGTGACCGGGCTACTTTAGATTTGTTCGGCTAGAGTAGCCCTGAATATGAATGGAGGAAGTGGTTGGCTGCCTTGCCTAGCGACTCCTACTGTATTCAGTCCCCTAGCATCGTCCTGATATTTAGACTCTGCACTGCGAAATGCTCACCGAAGCCTTGTTTGAGGCAGGTGGGTAGTGCAAAGGGTACCTAAGGGTCCTATACATAATCCTCCCAAACCTGCTACTACAAGTACTATCGCCACCAAAGCACCGCAAAGCGATTATTGGCTACTTTTCCTTGTTGATTTCCTTGCTTATACACGTGGGCATTTCTCCCTTGTCACAGCTCGTGTGCTGCCGTTCTCTTGCAACCTGTCCATCTCCAGCCAAGCTGATAAGAGGCGAGAGCTGCTTTTTCTCTGATAGCTTCTCATGCGACTAGATCTGGCTTGAGGGAGACACCCAGAAATCTTTTCTACACCGGTCGTCATCCTTCTACTTCACTCGAGGTTGGCGCACAAAGTGCGAGCATGGACAATTTTTGAGTACACTCCCCCGCAAATGAAAAGCCTCGATGGTAGGAGAATAGTGGCTGCCTCGCAGGATTCTTCCGCACGACCAAGCCCAGAAGCCTGCACGAAAATGCTTAACCATCGAACTCCATCAACCCAGCGCCATTGCAATCATAGACAGTCACGTGGAAACTGGGGTGCTAAACGAGCTGTGCGAAGATTACTACCCTACAACAGGAGGGTCAAAAAGCCTAAGCGTTGAAGTTCTTGCAGCTGCTCAGGTAGATTGTACTTTTAACCCACGCTTCTCGAGCCTCTGTCTAAGGCAGCTTCCGGTACTTCTTGGCAGAGAGGCGACATGTCAAAGCTGGTCATGAGATTCAAGATTGCCAATTTTTTTGCTAAACAAGATAGGGGCCAACCGTCAACTGATCACCCCTAAACTTTGCAAAGCTTGGGGCTTAGGTTGACTAGCATGCTAGCAAGAGGTTCAAGCATCACTGAGGACACTGTTACAGACATATGATGGGCGTGGAATTTCCTATTCCCTCAAGTGTGCCAGTTGAGTCGTTCTTGGAGCAACGAATGCTTTGAACGTTTGAACAGGGAGCGCCATGAGCAGTTCTTCCGTGCCAACACACAACTTCGGGGTGCATCAGTTGCTGACGCAAACTCACAACATCGCTCACTCACTCCAAGTGGTATTCCACCGAAATAGAAACCCTCAGGTGTGTTCATTTGAGGTTGCTAGTTTCCCAAAGTGGGTGCCGCTACCCGAACAGGAGCAGCGGAACAGAGGCTACTACTCCTGATAGCTAACAAGTTGAGGTGCTCAACATCAAACGGGACGACATCGGTGGTGTTGACGCCAAGCTGCTCTTGGGCCATCTCGCTTCAGCGAGAGGGGCTTCGAGGTTCTGAGCAGAACAGCTGCTTAACACTGAAAGCTCTGAAGCCTTTGGCTTCTGTCATACCGAGCGTGCTAGAGGGAAGACAGCGCACTGGGCAATCGTGGGGAGTTACGACCTGAAGCATGGCCAGCTTCTCTCCCACAAGTCTACCAAAGATTGACAGATTCTCTGAGCTCCAGTGTCAAAACCCCGAAAACTAGGCCTTAAGCCTCCTACGGGGCCACAACCTCGGAAAAGCTTGCTTGTAAACTCGAAGCGCCCGAGCTGCCGAGGAAGACACAAAGAGGTCCCTGCAAGAGACGATCCTGTACCCAATCGACCACCCGGTGTCTGGCCAGAAATGCTAGGGTTTAGGGTTTGTCCTTGTGCTGTTTTGTGAAAGAGGACACGCCAGTCATGTAGGAAGGTATTCCGGATAAGACAATCATGCCTTCAAGCACATCGATCGCGTGACCTAGCATTGCTACAGGGATGTTCTAGGCCAGAGACGGTTACCGGTACCTTTCTATCTGTTTGTCTGTCTGTCTGTCTACCTATTGATATCGATCTATCTATCTATCAGTCTTTTTGTCTATCTATCTTTCCATTTACCTATCTGTCTATCTGTCTGTCTGTCTAACTATCTATCGATCTGATCTTGTAAGCCGCATGCAGACCCTGCATCGTAGGTCCAGGCGGGAGACAGAAAATCTGTCTATCCATTCATCTTCCTTATACTGATTCTATTATACTACAGCTACTGCTACTGCTACTTCTTCTTCTACTACTACTACTACTACTACTACTACTACTACTACTACTACTACTATTACTTCTGCTACTACCACTGCTACCACTACCACTACCACTACCACTACCACTACCACTACCACTACCACTACCACTACCACTACCACTACCACTACCACTACCACTACCACTACCACTACCACTACCACTACCACTACCACTACCACTACCACTACCACTACCACTACCACTACTACTACTACTACTACGACGACGACTACTACTACTACTAAGACATGCGCTCGTAGGAGGCCTGGTGGTTTTCATGGGTTTCAAGCAGAACGCATTCTTCAGGTTCGAGCACCTTTACGGCACTCTCGGCTGCCACACAAGGTTGAATGTGCAAAACATGGTGCGTTTAGGAAATGCCGAAAGTACTGTCAGGGCCAACAAAAACGCGCATGAGGCAGCCGCCGGTGTCGGAAATCACGAAGTAGCATTTGTAGGTTTTGTATGCTTCTGGTGCTGCGGGCTTATTACGCAAAAGGAAAGCACTACGTGCACAGTATGCTGTACAAAGAGGCAAAAACGCTGTAAACACCAGTGTTTTTAGATGCTTGTGACAACTTGTTGTGATCCACATCCTTGCGCAGTACGTTGTACATGGATGCTTGTGACAGCATGTCTCCACATCCCTGCGCAGCAGTATGTTGTACGAAGAGCAAAATTGCTGTACATAGCTCGTTTCAGGCAATAACATGAACGTTATCATCCCCACCCCCCAATATCCCACTCCTACCGTGCAAAGTGGCTCCGCAAAAAAACGTGCGTAGAAGCAACAGTGCCGTAAATACCGGCGTGCTGTGCATGCTCGCCAAAGGCAATCACATGAAATCATCCCCCCCTACCCCCCAACCCCCAAAACCCTGCGCCTACCGTGCAAAATGGCCCCGAAAGGCATGAAAACACCAGGCCTCCTACGAGAGTGTGTCATACTACTATACTACTAGTACTACTACCACGACGACGACTACTACTACTACTACTACTACTATTACTACTACTACTACTACTACTACTACTACTACTACTTCTACTACTACTACTACTACTACTACTACTACTACTACTACTACTACTAGTGCTACCACTACTACTACTACTACTACTACTACTACTACTACTACTACTACTACTACTACTACTACTCCTAATAATGCTGCTACTACTACTGCTACTACTACTACTACTACTACTACTACTCCTAATAATGCCGCTACTACTACTACTACTACTACTACTACTACTACTACTACTCCTACTACTAATCCTACTCCTACTGCTACTGCTACTGCTACTGCTACTGCTGCTGCTACTGCTACTGCTGCTAGTACTACTACGACGACGACGACGACGACGACGACTACTACTACTACTACTACTACTACTACTACTACCACTGCTACTCCGGATCCTGCTGCTGCCGCTTCTGCCGCTCCTGGTGCCGTTGCCCGTGCTGTTCCTGCTGCTGCTTCTGCCACGACTACGACCACAAGTACTACAGGTCCCCGTCAATCCCTACCCTCGGCCACCAGTTCTGAAGGGCCTAGTGGGTTTAGGTGTTTGGGCTTCGTAACCCTAAACTCCGTAAGCCCGCAACCCTCCGAAAACCCGACACCGATTAAAAGCACGGCAGGCGGTGGAGAATGCAGCTCTCAAGATCCAGAGCACCTTTCGCGGTTGCGGGGATGCCCAGCCCAGCCACCGCTGTTTAGGGTTGAGTGCTGAACTCCTCAACCCTCAACCCGAAATCCTAATCCTTCCACCCGAAATCCTGTGACGTAGATCCTGAAGCCTAAACTCTTTAGCCTTGCGGTGGTGTTGGCGTTTAGGCCTGATAAATCTTAAACACATACATACCTACATACATAAATATGTATGTATACATATAGACTCCCACCATGTTAAACTCCAAACCCTTAGACTCTGAACCCCATATATAGAATCCCATCAAGTGAATGGGGGCCATACAAGACAGGGTCCATAGCAGCAATACATGCGCTACTCCCCCTGTACTCGACACGCTCCAATCCCCGAGCCCACAAAACACCACACGACCCGTTGTACTTCACGACGCACCAGAGGTCTGAAGCCCTGAAGCCCTGACACCCTGAGGCCCTGAACCCGAAAACCCCTGATCAAGTAGAAACCTTGCAAATCCACATCATCTATAGGTTTGGTTTGCTGTAGAGGCTTACAGGA